GCAATCCCTAGTACCAAAAAAAAAAAAAAAAGTGTAAACCTACATGAAGAAAACTATAAAACTTCACTTAAAAATTCTTCAGTAATTGGAAGAGATGTTCTTGGATAGGAAGACTTTCTAAATTGTTAAGAAGTAAAAAATGATAAATGAAGCTCTACATTTAATCTAATTCTAATGAAGACCAATTGATCAGGGCTTGACAAAACTATTTTGAATTTATCTAAAAGAAAAAAAATGTGCAAGTACAGTGGAGGAAAATTTGAAAAATGATCATGATGATTATTGCCTTCCTAATGAATTATTACAAAGTATTACAATACCAAATGGAGGATGAGAGGGTTCTCATCCCAGATTCTGGCACCACGTTAGTGATGTTGAATGAGTTTTACAAAGCTCTGTCTATTCGGTATTGTGCAGAAAATGTTTATGAAATGCCACACAAGTGTCAGGCATGACACAGACAGCAGTGAATAAGAGCCTCAGTCTCTGCCCTCATGGGGACTGAGGAAGTCTGAAGAATTAACTGCAAGCGTGAAGATCACTCCCCAAAGGCAATTTGGGATCACAGGGATGGTAGTCCCAGAAAACTCATCAGAATAGAGAACAGGTGCCACTCTGTGCATCCCACACAGGAAAGACTTAACTTCCTGATGACTGGGAGCCTGTCTTTTTATTGTGGAGGGTTTATCTAGGGAAAGGAAACTCAAGGAATGGCCCTGGTGTCCTTAGTGATATGAACACCAGCATTGAAGATTGGCCTTGGCCTCTGCCTTGACCTTTGATAGAAATCTGTAGACCCATGAAATGCACTAGGACTACCTCCCAGTGTCTGAGCCCATTGGTCTGGGATGGGGCTGGAGAATTTGCATCTCCCTAACAGGTTCTGGGTGATACTCTGAGTCTGCTTTGGAAGCTCTTCAGACCAATTCAGGGCAAATTTTGAATTAGTGTGTGGGAATGTTCTGGAACAAAGGGAAACTTGATTGGTTTCCTTCAGGGTTTGAGGAATGAACCATTCATGTAAAAATACATGACCAAAGGTAAGACACCTGGGTCTCCACTGGCAGGGGTTAGAGTAAGACACCCTCTTCTGGTCTTGAGGTCTCCTTGAGTCGAAGACATCCAGAGGATAAGACAATTCCTCCATAGAAAGGCTAAGGAGGAGACCCCAGACCTCTGCCTGCTCCACCTCCAATGCCCTCTTCCTCCCTACTG